GTTCATGCTTCACATATAGCATGACTACCTTCGTAATATGCTAGTTTCCATAAATAGACGTTTAGCAATTGTAATAATAGACAGAGAAGAGAGAGAATTGATAAGGGCTGTCGGGAATGCCTTTGTGCAACTCGTGGACCGTCGTACACATCTCATGGACTATCGTCAACGTGGCGGATACTGTATCGTAGTGAAACTCGGTCGGCTAGCTGAGGGCGTGGCTTACGGCGCATACGCTATTGACAACTGCCTGCGCCGACGCATGCTATCGTTCATAATGTCATACACCCTTTTGTGATCAGGCAACGCTTTGAGAAGAGGAAGTTACCCTCTCAAAAAAGGCTGACATCTTGAAAGAAAAGTACCAATAATTACTGAAGGTTTGTACTAATTTGTTGATCGCGTGGCCCTTCAAAAGAAGTGTTTTTTTGTAGAACATTCTCTGAATCGATCTCGAGATGAAATTAAAGTCCACCGTGTTGGAAGACATATCAGATGCTCATATAACATGCGAATAATCTAAGTGTCAATGAAAAAGTAAGTGAAAGTTGAATACATCTTAAAAATTTACATAAAATTGTCTGCCAAAATTAAAGAGTTTTAATTGTGGGTGACTATTTCGAGTTCGTGTACAACACTAGGGCAGTGCTTAATTTTTATGTACATACACATATACACAGCACGTTATTTTCACTTGTGGATAAGATTTTTTCAACCGATCTGTGCAAGCTGCAAGTTAGTGGTGGAATTTGTGCGGCGTAATATGAAAAGAATTGCTAGATAGTTCTTCCGGCATAATAGGAACTCAATAAATGGGAGTTAAGCAGCTCACGATCAGATCAGAGTCTCATCCTAAACATCGTGCTGACATATTTCATATGACCAAAATCACATCATGTGAAGTTTTCGTCCGATCAGCAGCATTCCGGCTTAGAAGTTTTTGTTATTTGCTTTTTATTGGGCAGTACATTGAAATATGTATACTTTAGTGTGACAGCACTAAGTTCACTTTCTTCTAAGAGAATTTGCATGAGTTTAACATTATCAAACGACTTAGGATGCCCAAGGAACGGTCAAACGTTTACGGTAGGTTTGAATGAAGGCTGGTATCGTCGGGCTATCATAGCAAGCCTCATGGATGATAAGCTACTCATTGTATGTTTTTTCCCGACTTCAACCACTTTTTCTTGGAATTGAAGCAGTTATTAGAACTCTGCACAGTGTACTATATCTATATATGAATACGTTCATACAAGTTATAACACAAATTCTAATAGAATTGTGAATAAGCGGTTTGAGAAAGGGAACCAATTAAAATAACAGTGAACAAATGTGAAATTGGAGATAAGACCACTTAATGAATTTACCTTGACCAAAAATTTGCCTAGTATTATCAATTCTCACCGCTTACCAAAAGCTTCTAGTCCCATTAATTTGACTGGAAGCTCCTCATACCTTTGCACTTTTGGGTAGGCCGCAGAGAAAGATTAGCTGACAAACTCACATTTGCATCGTTCCACTTTTGGCCTAATGTGAGAAAATTTGATTATTTGTGTTCACGCTTGCAGATTATCTGTTAAAACTTTTCAGCAGGGGATAATTCAAAGCATTAAAATGAACGCTTTTTTAGTTTTATAGAATAATTAACAATTTTTAATGAGCGAAGACGCTCAACAGTCATCTACACTACTTTTATCAAGGACTTAATTTGGCATTTTTGCATGCAAAGTATATTCTCCATGATGTCTAACGCGTATAGGACTGATAAATTGAGTTTCTTTGCCAAACACTTATTAATTATTAAACAACTATTAAAAAATCATACTTTCGTCATTCTAATGTCTCCCATGTCTACATGGGTTCGCAGCGTTTTGCACCTAACACTCGTGAGAAACCGAGATGGCGCAGGATGCTCGCAGGCTCTCAAATCTCTGAATACTGTACCTTCCTTACTCTGAGGCTCGACACGGCTGGAGATATTGTTTCCGACTTCCCTCTAGCAATTTCTATCTTATAGAGCTTCAAAGTGAGTAGTAGAAAAATATACAAGAACAATTATTCCAAGGAATGAACAAGAGCCTTAGCCGTATACTTCAAATCTTTTAGTGAAAAACACGTATTGGGGAAAGGTTAAATTAATTATTCTTACAGCATTGTAATTTCGGCGTTCATTCAGACGTATAGGTGTCAAACGCCTCCTGTTTCGTATGATTCCATGGGCGTGCGGATGTTTCCTTGAGCACTAGTTTTGAGAAGAACTCGTTTCTTTCGTAATTATCAATTCCAATTTTTGTAAGTTCCTGTGCGGTCGACCATAACCTCCTATTAAAAATTGTGTTAGGTGTTTACAATACCCTTATAGCAAGAAAATGGCCGGAGATAGTGATCTTTACTTTTTCACATTACTGTTCGTCACATTTGCGTATTATAGAATTGCATAGTATCAGTTGTGGAAAGCCCCATTCCCTCAGTGAATGATTTGAACGAGCGTCTCTGGATTAGCTGGATCTTCAACTTTCTCTCCATTCGATGAAGTTCATATTTGTGTTTGTTTTTATTCGCATCAGCGAGGAACTAAAAATTTGAAGAACAGCTTTGGTTTTGTTTTGAAAATAGCTAAATAACTTTGCATCCTAATCATTGTACTATAGTTTTTCCCCAAATTTTGTGTAGAAGCTTATTATTTTGAGTATGGGAGTTTGTGGAATTGTTAAATAATGACGTAGTAATCGTCTGTAATTTTTTACAACGTGCGACTTTGTACATCATTGTGAAGCGAATATATTAAGAAATAGTCCTGACTGACCATCAGTAAATACATTAAAAAAATGCACTTCTACATATTTCAAGCGCAGTCCACATGAAAGAACAATTTTTTGATCGTCTGTTTGCAACTAAGAGTACCATGTCTCTAATCCTTCCTGTATGACAGACATCATCTCTTATTTGCCACCCCATTCGCAACATCACAGTCATCTTCATCCAAATCGTAAATAATGCCTCAAGAAGCCGACCTAGAACTTTTTTCGAAGAAGCTTCTCAAAAACACACTCCAATTTTGTTACATTCTAAAATGTTAGTTTCCTTTACCTTACTTCAGTTCCCTGAGTTAAAGGAAAGGGTTAAGCGATGCAGTTTCAGAAATTGACTTTTTTAATTGCAGGATATGGTCTCCACCAGCAACAGCTTTTGTCCCTGCTAATTTACCTCGAAAAGAAGGCGCAACAGGAAGAAGGACGGCGATGAACCTACATCAACACTGAAAACTTTTTTCCACTCTAAGAATGTATATTTATTTGTGGTTTAAAGATGTGGTCAGATTTCCAAAACAATGAGGAAGAATTTCAAGCACATGGTTGCATTATTCCGATTTATGAGTATTCGTATCTTTCGTGTTTTTGTCCAGATATTGAAATATTCAGTCGGTTTATGCCTACCTTTTGTGTGATCTTTGTATTTTAGTGCAAGTAATAAATTTTCGGCAAAGATGTGTTTTATTATTTTATTTAGAATTATATTTTCATGTCTAATGGGAGTTTGAGAAGAAATTCAGATACTGTTTGTATTTTGAAAATTTTGAGGTCATGGTAAAAATTCCGTAGTTCTTAGCAGTATGAAGAGTTTTCTCAGACATCAACACTCCAAATGTATGCAAATCTTGAATTTATGCATATTAGAAAATTTCGCACAGAACTAAGACAGATCGGGACGCGTTATATCATTTGTGCTCTACATTTGATATCTATAAAGTCAATGCGAATGATCGACGGTGTCGCGTGCGTAAACCCATCGCGCGAACAGCGCCTGCTCTCGGTGCAATGCGAGTAATAGCGCTCGTCGGTTACTCGCGCAGCCTTCCGTGACCATATCGTTTGTCGCGTGGTCGTGCGCCGCATGTCGTAAAGCTCTGATTATTTGAAAAGCCGTGGGACAAGGAGAAAGAGAGTGGAATTAGTATGATAAGCGTGATACTTCAGCACGTTAGAATAGCAATATTTGGCCAGCTGTGAGCTATTCCATTCTATAAATCACCGCGATACATGAACACAACGAATCTCACGGTTATTAT